AAAATCTAATAAAAAAATCGAATCATTATCAAACAAATTTATAATAACATTCATATTAAAAATACATAATTAAATAAAAAGGACTAATATTTAGAGTTACATTAAGATTAAATCTGTTTACAAGACTACTTAATGATTATTGATGCATTAATGTTTCTATCACAGCTGGTAAAGATGGAGCTAATATTAATTACTTCATATAATGCAATGGGATATTTTAACCTTTAATAATATGTCCGTGTTTATTTATTCATTGATGTTTGTGTTTTTATTTTTAGTGTAATTTGTAACTTAACCTGATGGAGTAAAAATAAATATATAGGCATCCAAAATGTAGTGGAACAGAAGTATAACATGATCATTAAAGTTCAGTACTGTAAAATACAAGTATCTCAAAATTGTACTTAAGTACAATACTTGATTAAATGTACTTCTTTACGTTCAGTACCTTCTACTCCGGCCTCATGTGGAGAGAAGATCCTGGCGTCTCCGCAGGGCGAGGTGCTGATGTAGAGGTGGAACTGAACGTTGTCCTTCAACCTGTAGCCTCCCTTTTCGCACGACACGAATATCGACTTGTTGTTGTCGTCTTTGCTGTGGTTGTGACAAAGATATAAGAGACAAATTAAGACCACCCTCACAATCAGCATTGTAGATCATTTACTAACTCAGAAAATGAGGTGCCGTCCACTGACCTGAGGAATAACTCCAGCTGGGTGTAGAGGTACCTGATGAGTGAGCGTCGGGCGATTATCTCAGCGTGGCAGTCGTTAAGGGCCAGCCCGCGGTCGCTCATGTACTCACCGTTGATGCATTTTGTTCCTGTGGAAACACAAATTACCTGTGCTTCCTTCACATCGGTCCCTGTTGGGGGTAAAGGGAACAAAGACATATGAGTATTTGTACACTCATCTTCAAGAACATACTGTACATGTACTACTGCTCTATATTGAGTTTTAATGCCCTTAATAGGACAAAGTGAGATCATCTGCAAACTGTCATATAGTTATATTTAGATTTAGTTTTAAAGGCCAACTACTGTCCTTGTCTAAAACTGCAGTGACTTTTTTCACATCCATCTGCTGAAGGTGGAAAGTCTTTCTGTGCTCAGCTTGAGTCTTACCTTAAGTTCATACAGTACTGTATACAAGCATGAAAACGTCAAGGTGAGAACTTGACGCCTCAAGGACATTGAGATTTGACTTGTCAGCAAAGTAGGGGACATGTTGTGTACAGCACTTACATTTTGGAAAGTAATTAGCATATTAATGAATGTTTTAGGATTTTTCAATGAGGGAGAATTTCTAAAAGTTATTGGTTCTAACTTTAAAATACAACTTTTTGGGATTTTTTTTAAACTTCCAAACAGAGTATGTTATGTCATAAACCATTAAAAAGATCGATAAATATAATATGTACCATTAGTATAACAGTGAGAGCTGTTTAAGTTCACAATGTTTTTTGCGTGTAAAATGTTGTGAGTGTCAAGGACAGATTGAAGAAAAAAGTGAAATACAAACATATAAAATACTTCAGTACAGTTATACCACTGGTGAGAAAATTGGGTGATGATAAATGTTGTAGCATATGCTTAAAAAAAGGCCATTAGATTCTGACCAAACACGGCAAATATATACGTAGTTGTAAATATTGTCAACTTTTTTCTATGAGTTTTGCAACTTAAATTACTCCTTTAGGTAAACCTTAAGAATTTTCTGTCAGTGCCAGATTTTGTAAATATAACAGACCATATTTCCCCCTCAAATCTACCTGTAGTCATGACGACCCCTGCTAGGACTTTCCGCCGTGCATGTGGAGAGGTGAAATTTTCTGTCAGCTCGCTGAACTTATCCACCACCAGACGAGAGACTGCATCAGCCAGAACCTAGAATCACACACATACATACACACAGCCACACAAACACGAGCTTGTGTCAGTTATGTCAGTTTACGAAAGCGCATCTGATGTTATCCTCCCCTAGAGCACCGTGTACCTGTCACAGTGATCACATTCAACTCCAAACAAGCGTCAGAGCGTTGAAACGGCAACAAGTGAAACTGGGTTTACCCCCTGAGGTATACCTAACCCTCTTTCAAGCAACACAGTCTGAGTTCCGCATGACAGTGAACAATTCCCACCTCCCTTCTGTCAGCGAAATAAAAAGAAAACAAGTAAACCCGAGCTACACATGTGAACAATAGAGTTTTGTTGACATTCCGTAAGATTTGAAACTTGTGTCTTAACTCTGGGGGAAGTGAACTTCCCCCCCCCTTTTTTCTTAGATAGCCGCCTCCTCTTGCTGGCTCTTTATCCATTGCTAATGTGATGGAAAATGACGACAACCAAGAGGGGAGATGACGGCTGGATGACCACAAATGAAAGAGATTAGCCCAATATTACTTCCCAGCTACTTTGGAGTCATCCACTCGTAGCGGGATCATTTGACTTTCGAATGTACCAAGGTCGGCTATGGTGTAGGAATGACTATTCATCTCTAGGGTTACAAAATAGCGGACTACATGTCAGAAAATGTGTCCTTTTAGGAGGATAAGAACACCAATTTTCCTTGTTGCATCCCTAAATAAGTCTGATGTATTTTTCAGTTCGGGCGCCAACAAAAAACATCTATTGAACTTAAGTTATCATTTTTTTGCAACTGCAATGGACTGCGTTCCCATTAGTTCTCGGCCAGATGGAACCAGGCGGCAGAAATTAAAGACCAAGCGACAGAGAATTAATAGAGCAATTAGTGGGGGTGCTATCGTTCAAATGGGCTTCTTGTCGAATAAATCAGCTGACAAGTGGAGAGAGTGAGTAAAGAGAAAAAAGGGGGTTGGATGGGAGGGACTGTTGACAGTGTGCTGTGCTGATTAGCTTTGGAAACTGTGTTATCTCTTTGAGCACACTGTCACGGCTCTGACAGTCACCTCTACATTGGCATCAAAAGCGGACCCCAATCCTTTGTCCCTGCATACCTGATGGGAATAATTTTGTAGTGGTATCCTTCTAGAAACACATTGCTTGACAGGTTTAGGGTTAGGGTTGTATAGTTCTGTCAAATACTTGAGTTGTAACTGACCTTATGATACTATTTTGACATGTTAAAAGCCATCCATTTTGGAATACACTCGTTCGGAAGAAGGGTGTAATTCATTTGAGAACAAGTGATTTACGTAGGAAGACCGAAGATATGAACCAAGCACTGGAATCTTGATAATCGGATTACAATGTGTATCTCATCTGGATCTAATGCATGGTGTTAAAAACTGATGACTTTTTATAGTCTAACCCATTTTAGCATTTGGGATTTCAACTTTATCTTTTTTTCGACCCCCTTCTTAAATTCTAATTCGCTTTTCAAGTATACTGATGATTGACAAGGTTGAGTGAATTCTCAAATGACATTTTTAATCATGTTATCACGTTATTAAGTTGAAAGGCAGATAACACGTAGATTAGGGATCTGCTGTAAATAGACAAATTAGAACAATAGCCCGCAACTTTAAGAGTTCATTCCAGTAATTATGACTTTGAAGTGTAGAACTTCTTAAAGGTGACCTATCATGCAAAATGCACTTTTGTACGTCTTTTATACATGAATATGTGTCCCCGGTGTTCCAGGGAACTCACCAAGTGTCAGAAAACACAACCCTCTCGTATTGTCCTCCATACCCAAATCCTCTTAAAAAGGGGCTGCAACAGATCTGATACAGACTGATCCAGATTTGAACACTTCTCTTACGTCACAGAAGGTGGCGCTACGGCTATTGGGCCAACTCCACCAATCAGGAGGAGACAACCACGGACATCGAATTTCGAAAGCGCTGGAGACGCTGTAGTATATATGCCAGGCCTGTAGATGGTGCTGTTCTCACAGAATCAGCCCATGCAAAGACAGTGTTAAATTGAGCGAAATGAGGCATGGCTAAAATGCATGATCTGTTTGGTATTTTGAAAAAGAATAGGTATAAATATACCTTACATAGGTATGGCCCTACAATATATTATTCAAATATAGCATGATAGGTCTCCTTTAAGTAAACTTTGTGATATCTTTTCATGGGGCCCAAAATCCCTGGTGGCGCCCCTGGCCCTGAGTGACACACACCTATGATATAACGTTATTGAACGTAATTACCCGACTGGAGTAAAGGTTGGTTTTACACATGCAGACCAAAGTCCAATAATATAAAAATAATATGCAACTTTTGCAACACTTAGTTGGTAGGCTACTTTAACTTTCGTTTTTTGGTAACATCAAGCACTTCATTTTCGTGTTTCAGGCTAGAGTATTTTTATGAAACGTGTCAACAAACAAGTGACTTAAGCGGAAACAATAAATCATCATTATCTGATGGAAGAAAATAAATAGTGTGCAAGAAAAGTTTTTCAGAAGAAAAATAAACAAAAACCGCTTGTAATATGAACAGCAGGGTACAGAACGTCTATGCACGCTGCATAAAGTGCTTACAGTAGGTTACAGTTACAGAGGCAGATAAGGAAGTAAGGCTGTAAAGTTTAGATATTAATAAAGGAAACAACCAACCTGTTGGATCCATGAAGCAGGCCCAGAGGACAGTGAGGAGGGACTGAGGGGCTGGGAGGGGCAAGACTGAAACATTTAACTGAATGTGTTGATATGCGTGTTAGCGCCATCTGGTGGGAAACAATGCAACTGTTGCTTTTGCAAGCTGAGCCACAATGAAGACAACAGGAGAACGACATTTTAGGCTACTTTATTTACCAGCAATTTGAATATTTTGGGTTAAAAGCTCAGTATTTAAGGATGCAAGAAAAACTCAGTGCAAGCTCCAGGGAGTATCATCAGAAATATGGTTGTTATGTTTTGAGATTCAAGCTTTAAGCTACAAAGTGTGATCAAACAATGTTGATAGCATTAGTCTCTTCCATGTGTGTGTGTTGTGTGTGTGTGTGTGTGTGTGTGTGTGTGTGTGTGTGTGTGTGTGTGTGTGTGTGTGTGTGTGTGTGTGTGTGTGTGTCAGAGTTGGCTGAAAGTGATCCTTGGCGGGGTCTCAGGCTGGAGGATGAGGGTGCATGTGGTTCTGATGTCCTCTGAGGATGACACGCTGAGATGGAAGCTCAGCAGGATCTAAACGGAGAGGGAGGAGAGAGGAGAGGGAGGGGGAGAAGGTCATGGAGGTGTTAATACTGAGTGAAGAGCACATGTTAAGAAGGATCACAGTTATGCTATACTTAGCAACAGTTATTAAAAGGTTCGTATTTCTATTTTGTGCCTCTAATGTGACATGTTTAGAGGCTTTAATGTTCATAATCTGCTTTATTTTTTATAAATACTGCCTGTGCTGCAGCACCTCTTTTCACCCTCTGTCTGAAACCAGAGCCCAGTCTGCTCTGATTGATTAGCTGGCCGGGTCTTTTGTGATTTGTCAACTGCTTAGAGATATCCGGCCCCTAGCATGTACAATGTGTTTGAGCGCTAGCCTATCAAATGTGAGTGTTAAATAATGATAGAGAAAGGAGGCGTTTCAGGAAAAATACAAATAAAAAGTTAGTGGAAAATTAGATGTGAATTATTTCCATTTTATGCTTTTTGCTTCACATCCTTCCTCTCTGACTTCATCCTCCTTTTCTCATCTGCTATTACTCACATGCATGAGTAAGAGCTGCATCTCGTTCTCAGCAATCCTCCTCCCGACACACTGCCTTGCCCCAAAGCCAAACGCCAGGGAGCGAAACCCCCCTGCCCCCTCTTCTCTCTGGCCCCCCTCCCTGCTGCTGCCCCACCGCCCGGGGTCAAAGCGCAGCGGATCCTCAAACACATCCGCACTCCTTCCCAGGGGGTATAGACAGGCCTGGACCATGGTCTGAGGAGAGAGAGGATGGCCGTCACACACACTGAGGTCAGCTGAAGCAGTGATTGCTCCACACTGTGACAATGATCACTCACCCCAGCAGGAATGTGGTAATTCTGAATAACAATGTCTTTGATGGGATACCGCTGCACTGTCGTTCCCACCGGGTATAACCTGACACAACACACATACACACAGCACACACACACACACACACACACACACACACACACACACACACACACACACACACACACATGTGTTACCATTGACTAGGAAATATGGAACATATAAGTCATGTATAAACAATATATCACATTCATCATCACATATATCAGTAAATACATCACATACGTTCAAAAACATTGCATTTAGCAAAAAAAGGAGAGAAGAAACATTGTGCAGACATGAACTTTAATGCCCATGCTCTAAAGCACTCTTATATCTTTCTGCCTCCCTATTAATGATACTTTCATGAAAACCTCAACACAATTTATCTTTATTGTGAATTGAGACTTTTGTCTTATATTTTGGATATGGTAATTTAGCATGTTGTCTTTGCCATCTTTCTTTTCCTGGTTTTGATTAAAGGTTTAAATGGTTTTAAAGCATAATGAAGGTATTATATACTGATAGGAACCTGCAGGCCACAGAGTACATACACACTGCAGAGATTAAGTGTGTGTATCTAGGTGGCCTACTTTAATCAGGCCATGAGCAGATGTCTTGAGTATGCTGTACCTGAGAATCTCCTTGATTGTGCCCTTCAGTAGAGGCGCCCCCTGCAGGGTTTTCTGAGGGTCACCACCAGCCTGTGCACATGACACTCTCACCTGCTGCCTCACCCTCTCCTGCACCTCGGGGTTACGGCCCAGCTCAAACAGAGCAAACTGCAGGGGCACCGCTGTCTGCAGAGGGGGGGGGGAGGGTGACAGGGAGTCAGTGACAGGTGACAGGGAGTGAGTCAGTGACAGGAAAACAAACACAAGCAACAACACACACACACACACACACACACACACACACACACACACACACACACACACACACACACACACACACACACACACACACACACACACACACACACACACCGTCCTCTCTTGGTCCCCCTCATCAGTCACTCTCCCTCCCACCTGTGCTGTTAAATCTTTCAACAGGAACAACTTGTGAGTGTTGAAACATAGTTGATCTTCATTTGTACTTGTATTTTCACAATTGAATACTGTTTATTTAAATGTTTACTTTTTATACCAATATTCAGGTTATCATTTGCAACATCCGTCGTCCTATTATTTGGTGTATCATGATGAAACCTATTTGTGATGTAGACTAAGTTTCTCCTACTGGATCTGTGGGCGACAGTTTGAGAAAGCTCCCGTCTGTGTCTGTGGTGAGGTTTGCCTCTAGCTCTGGGTCAAGAGAAGTTGAGCTCCTTCCTGTTTCCCCCCTCCCTCAAGAGGTAGAGGAAGTTCCAGAGGGGATCAGGATCTGTGGGAACCACTCACAGGGAACCAGAGGAAAAGGAAAGGAAACAGAGCAGCTGGATGGAGGGGAAGCTCTGAAACAGGGGCCTCCTCTCTGTTAGTAATGTGGATCCAACCCACTACCTGTACACAGGTGTAGTTTGTGTCAGAAAAATGTAACAGTGCCATGACGCATACTTCCATTAAAGATCTCCCATCGTGCTATTTTTAGGCATATATTATCAGATATATAAAAACATATAAAAAACACATCTAGATAAGATAAGAGATGAGATAAGATAGAACTTTATTGATCCCAATTTGGGAAATGTTTGTGTTGCAGCAGCATAAAAAGACAGCAAGAAATGCTGGTCTTGATGATTAGGCCTATGTTTGGCCTCCTTGGTCCGACCTCCCACCGTTCTCTGTTCACCTCACTTTTGACTTATCAAAAAAGCGTGAACAAACCTCTCAACTATAGGTCAAATGTAGCAAAATTCGTAACGAATAACGAAACATACAGCCCCCGCCTCTAAGTAACCTAACAACGAGGCGTTTTTTAGCGGTTCGAAGTCTGTGCGGGTCGAAGTTCTAAAACAAGTACGGACATCACCTCTGCCCAGCACTCAAAAAAAAATAAATCGGTGTTCGTCCCTGTGCCGCATTCTACGGAGCTCCGAAAGTAAACTGTGTAAGGCACGCCGAAAGTAGTAATGACAGACCGAGCTGAATTAAGGCTGGTGGAAAGCAGACATTTTAAGAAGGTGAAAATAGCTGTGAAGGGCTCACAAACCACGAGTACCACGAGACATTTAACGCGACCGAAAGTAGCGTGATAATCGGTCCTGAAGTGGCGATTTTCTTAGTGACTCCGACGCCACCAGGTCTCATCTTTCACTTAGCGTCTTAATTATATATACAAAGTGCGATGACGGAACAAAGTCAAACGGAGAAAGAATGCAAAGGGAGCTGCCGAGGAGACTTGGGACCGGACTTAGGTCTACCGTTCGCCATGCAAAGCGGTTAAATAGGTATCGCGTCTGGGATGGCATAAAAGTACCGACGTTCCATTCGTCGACAAAAGTAAACACCCTAAAACCGCGACCAACACGGTGTCTGATTAACAGAGGGATCCCTTGTATTAGCGCGTTATAGGTAAAAACTGCCCTAATATAAAAAAAAAATGAACAGTGAAACCTTAAGGGAGCATGGGGGACGTCAAGGAGCAGCATGGTGATCCCATTCGTCATGGGCCAACCCTTTGTGACGAGATGCCAGACTTTGTCTCCTGACTCCCAGATTTTACGACTAGTATCATACAGTGGTTCTGCTATTGTCTTTTGTAATGACGGATGAATCAAAGACCGGGACCGTGCTCGTTACTACATTTGTAGCGGTTATCATATTGTAAAATAACATCAGTTAGAACACTTTGACTCTCATTTTTCATGTGTTGTAACGTTTAGTTGGTTACTGTACATTGTTTTTATTGGTATTTACTTTTAGATTATTGTATCTACTTAGTAAATTTGCATGTTTGTTACGGAGAGGGTTCAATATGTACTCCTCTACCTCGGCCTACATACCAACACAGCCAGCGCTTGCCTCGGCTAAGGAAAACTTGCCGAGAAACCATGCTTGCTCCCCTGGCTCAGCATGAACCACTTCGGCAAGAAAAATAGCGAGTTAGCAACCAGGGCGTGAGTGACACGGTTTTAGGTGAGCGGAAAATTTTTCGAACTAAACAAAAGGGTTTGCATAAGACACTTCTGGGGCGGGATGAGACGACCACCATCCAAGTCGGGCTCCTCACTGCTACGCCCACCCAGAATTGTTCCTTAGCGGCTCTCTCTTCCAGTATTGTTCACCAATGTCCTGTCCATCTGGTCGCACAAAAAGGCCTACCTTTACTCGGTTGCGCTTTTGCGTCGTCGTAAACCTACGTGAGGTGGTTTTGGTCTGTCACCTATTCTCGCGTGGTAAACATTTCCGTTTTATAGGACAATTCGTCTCAGTTGATTATTAGAGGGTAGCCGGTGAATTTTTGTGTCATAGTATTAATTCTCTACGAACTTAAAGTAAGTTCCGTTCCTTTGAGAATAAATGAATTGTGTATGTCTCCCAGGTTAGTTTCACCATGAAGTGCTTACTTAATGTCCTCGAGACTGATATCGAGAACGGTGAGTGTGTGCGTGTGTGTATGTATGTGTGAAAAACAGTCAAGACATGACAATACGACAATCAAGTCAGTAGCAAGATACCACTTGTACTTGTTTAAAGAAAAAGAACAGAAAATTAAACATAANCGTAGATTAGGGATCTGCTGTAAATAGACAAATTAGAACAATAGCCCGCAACTTTAAGAGTTCATTCCAGTAATTATGACTTTGAAGTGTAGAACTTCTTAAAGGTGACCTATCATGCAAAATGCACTTTTGTACGTCTTTTATACATGAATATGTGTCCCCGGTGTTCCAGGGAACTCACCAAGTGTCAGAAAACACAACCCTCTCTATTGTCCTCCATACCCAAATCTCTTAAAAAGGGGCTGCAACAGATCTGATACAGACTGATCCAGATCGTCACAGAAGTGGCGCTACGGCTATTGGGCCAACTCCACCAATCAGGAGGAGACAACCACGGACATCGAATTTCGAAAGCGCTGGAGACGCTGTAGTATATATGCCAGGCCTGTAGATGGTGCTGTTCTCACAGAATCAGCCCATGCAAAGACAGTGTTAAATTGAGCGAAATGAGGAATGGCTAAAATGCATGATCTGTTTGGTATTTTGAAAAAAAAGTATAAATATGCCTTATATAGGTATGGTCCTACACTATATTATTCAAATATAGCATGATAGGTCCACTTTAAAAACTACAAGGTAACTATAAAGCCTTGCATTCCTCATGTTGGCTTTTAATCATGGTATTCTTACAAGCTCTTTTTCAACCATGGTCAACGGTACTGTATAATGAATGACTTACAGGCATGACACATCCTATAAAACATGATAACTGCTTGTTTTGGAAGATTTATTCTGGAAAAACCGTAACCGTTTCTTTCTTAACGCTTACCAGAAATCCAAATTAAGTCTCAGCAATCCCACTGGAAGAAGTTTGGATCAGTTTTATGGACCATGCTCATGTTTTTTGGTCTTGTCCATGTAAACAATTTTTAGAAATAAGGGGGCCTTTTAATATAAGAGATTCTGCACCTGATATCCTTATTTTATCTGTCTTCCTCCTTTTTGAACCTTGGAAGTATCCCGAAACGTCATAAAAGCGATATATAGATTTTGAGGGTTATCGTGGCCGCAAGTAAAAATAAATCCATTACAAAACGCTGGTTTAAGAAGAACTCCCCGTACATTGCTCTTCATAGTAAGATTATGAACTCTATTCGCTCAATGGAAAAAACTACTTTTACTATCCGAACCCAAAAGGAGAAGTGGGATAAATATTGGGGAAAAATCAGATATCTTAAAAATGTCACTTCCCCTTTTCTGAACTCTAAAAACATAACATCACAAACATAATACAGCAGTAACTCAAGATAACAACCCATAGAATGGGTGTCTTTGGCTAGTTAAGTTCACAAATCAATGTGCACTAAAAAAATAATTCATACCTCTAAGGCCTTTGAGACATTACATAGTTGCATTTCTGTTTAATGGCAATGGCAAACTGTATAGAAAATAAACAACTTACCTGGGGTAGATGAAGCTGCAATCCCTCACTCGGAATGGGTTGCCGGGATGGTGTCTGGTCTAGCTGCATGTTGAAGAGAGTAGAGAGGGCGGCCTGCGCTGCCCGGGCTTTAGCCAGCTTCTTGTTGCGCCCTGAGCCTTCAAACGTCTGTGTATCCACCGTTACTGACATCACAAAATTCTTGGCATGACTTTCTCCGCTCTCTGAGACAAAGTCATACTTGAGGCCTGGCCTGAGCTCATTGAGGATCATGACTGGGTTTTTACCACTGGAAGGGGAGCTGAATATTGACAGAGGGGGCAATGGGGCCTGGACAAGGTTGCTGCCAGGAGGTGTGGGAAGTGGGTACTCCCCTAATGAGTTTAAGGAGCTGTTACCATTTGAGCCTAGAAAGAAGGCCTCTTCAGGTGCGGCCGGCGTTTCAAAGCCATTGAAGAGCATGTCAGGGAAGTCGGCTTGGTCAGATGTAAAGTCTGTGTTCACTGTCAGTGTTCGGCCCATGGCCAGGTGCGCCTCAGAGGCATTGGGGAACTGGACGAAGGAACGCAGGGCTTTCTCTGCTGCATTTAATTTGGCCTTCTTTTTAGTGGGGCCCATGCCCTCAAACATCTGACCATTGACCTCAACAGTCATGACAAAAACTGGTGCATGTACTGGTCCCGTCTGAGACAGCAGTTTGTACTGTAGACCCGGTTTGATTTCGTTCAACTGCATCAGAGCATTCTTGGGCAGGACCGGCCCCGGCGTTTTCTTGCGCTTCTTGGCCCGGAACTTGGAGTGTGTGTGCCCATTGTTTCCCTCTTCCAGGGGACGTTTGCGACTGCCAAGGCCGCTTCCATTGGGGAGCTGTTCAGCCACTCCCACCCCGTCTTTGCAGGACACGTTGTCCAGGTTTCGGTTTTCCTTAACATCTGTGCTGCTCGAACCTGCGGTGCCCAGAAAGAGTAACTTACAACGCCTTCGTTGCAGGATCTTGTAAATGCAAAATTTATAGATTCCTTTATCACTCTTTGGAACTGAACCAATGATTTGTGTTCCTTTATGAAAGCAAGAGAAGCTTTAATTGTATTGAGCATTTAACCTATAGTACGTTGTTATGACTGCGAAGAGTCAGAGACAATCTGTACATCTACTGTTGTTTATGATATCCCAAGTTCTTAAAAACGGTCATCATTCAAAACAGGATAGGGACTATATGTCACTATGTTTGACTATATTTTGTTTTTTGATTTTTAAATGAACTTGTTTATATATCTTCATAACAAAAAAGTTGTTATTCTGAAGGTCAGGGTAAATTGGGAGAATTATATTTGCAATTAAACAATTCCTGTACTTCTCAGGTAAGTGTTGATCTCAAACAATAATGCACACAAATACACACATATCCACGCTTAATATGGACGCACACAAAGCTGTTCTTCATCCACTCTGTCAAATTTTTAATCGCTTGAGTGCCTACAGAGAAATTAGTTACATTTTAAATGTTCAGTTTGAAACTGCGGCTCCTGAAATACACTCTACTGGGGAACACATATCACTGAATCCAGTTAGCAAAGTGGATGGAATATTGGCAAAAATTTTCATTTATAACATCCTTCAGCAAAGGCTTGATAGGTTACTCCTTGCGGTACTCAGGAGAAAGAGAGGCCGCAGTGTGCATGAGTGGGATTGTAGGTTGGGTTCAGGGAGTGCAGGGGAGGAGTGCAGGGGGAGGAGCTGAGGACCAGGCAAACAGGAGGATACATCAAAGAGGCGGGAGGAGAGGACTCCACCTACTGCAGGATCCTAAAGTCTTGGCTGGTGACACGTGGGAGGTTAAAATGCCTTACACCCATTTTACATGAGATTTTGAAAGGAATGACTGTCGTATTCAGAATGAGGAATTAGAGATCTGTATCTAATGAGGTGCCATTCATAAGACCCTGCGCCTCTGAGATCCCCCCCATGGAGCTTTTCAGAGAACACAGTGTTATAGGTTGCCAAATGTACTGACATGCCGTTACCATCTGCATACATTGACATGTCTAATAAAAAAAGGCCTAAAGTAAAGAACACAAACTGAATATCCGTCAACTCACAAGCAGTATCTGCACTTTAAACATGCAATATTTATTTTGGTGTGCTTGCATTCTGAAAATTGCTTTTATGCAAATATGATTTTTGCTAATAAATGTAGGAAAAGAGGGAATGTGCACAACAGTAGCGGAAAATAATGGTGAAAGGTTAAATGTGTGTTGGACAGGGACTCAATCTCAGCCAAGGACCTTTAACCACCACATATGCTGCAGCAATAGTTGAGTAATTTAGGCAAGTCAAATGAAGACTTTCTAAATGAATTGTTTTATAATATTCAGCACGTAGCACTGCAGCTCATTATGTTTCATTATGAGTGCATAGACTTTTCGGCTACTGCAAATGTGGGAAGTCCATTACATTTAATGCATATTGTTCAATTGTTTATCAAGCGATCAATACCTCCAATAAAACAGCTATATTTGTGGGAGTATAGAGACCAACAGGTCAATCGAGAAAAATGCAATCACACACTGAAAAACTGTAACATGCTGCACAGAAAGAAAAACAGTAAATATAATGGCACACCAAAGAAAAAGAAACTGGAGTTCCTTTTTTCTGTTAGACAATGTATCATTCAACACTTTCTCTGCAGAGTTAAAATTGGTACAATTAGTTTTATCGTATATATTTTCTTGAAGTGTGAGGGATATTACTAATATCAGATCAGAGGAAAAAAGCCATTGAGTAAAACAGCCATGACACCATGCATTAATTATGGCACACACATGCAGTCGGGCCATTATCATGCCAGCGTCTGTGTAATCAGTTCCCATTATTTATGCAAAACACAAATCATCCCATATGGTTGGATATGCTGAAGTTTAAATTCCCTTGGGGGGTTGCACGATCTTAAAAATACAGGAGAAATATTTTATCACAGCTTTATTTGAACTTGTTTGATTCAGGGATGATTCATGTGATTAAAGAATGTCACGAAATGCAAAGGTTGTCAAATAAAAGATAAAGATTCTTTCATGTTCTCCTTTGGTGTTCCCTTGGTATTAAGCACATACGCTTGAGTGAACTTGGGCTGTATTTTATCTTCAAATGTATATTTTGACTGGCAGTAAAAGGAGGCTTCAGGGACTTTGAGAGACAACAAAGACCATTTTGTTAATCTGCTTTTTTTGTCTTATCACGTAACAACAGAGCACAAACACGCAGTATGTCACTACAATAGGAGCTGTTCGTTTGTATTGCAGGTTAGTGCACCGCTGGGATGACAGGTCTCTTTGAATGTGAGCTCGGAATCTCTAAGGTGTTGGGGAAACATATTCAATCAAGTCTTTCCGTGTCTTTTGAAGCTCAGTTACTGAGTTCACACCGAAATGTCTAATTAAAGTTCAATAAGCTGCAGTTGAGAGGATTTTCTGAAGAGAGATACGGAGGTAGAGGGAATCTGTAATACGACATGAAGCCTCTCAGATGTAATGATTAGTTCTTCCCTTTAAGTTTCCTGGCTGTGTGTGTATTTGTGTGTGTCTGTGTCTTGGTTCAGGTAAGGGTAAGTTACGATTGCTATTATGGAGGTGAACCAATTTAAATGTATTCAGCAACAAAGTTTCTGTTAGATTTAAAATTTGAATACATTAGTGTGATTCATTTGGCGTATTGTACGGTGGCCGACAGGTGCAAACGCCCAACTACTGCCCCAAACACGCTGGGCTTTCAAAAACAGTGTAAATATAAAAACAAGAATGTGTGCCGGTTTGTTTTGAGGTTATTGCAGCGTTTTGTTTTTTAATGCAGTGTTTTGTATTTTCAGTGTTTTGTTTCTGCAGCGCTTTTAATAAACGCTCAAGTTGGTGAATGTTTTTCTAAATGTTAAGCATGTGTTGCCAAGTTGGTGAATATAGCTACATTTGAATGTGCATCGTTTTTGAAATTGCATCAGCAGTTTTGGGCTGTTTGCCCAACTCGTTTGCCCCTGTCAGCCACGGAAGTGTTGCAAGTTATATTATACAAATGGGCTAGGACCTTTTCTAAATCTGATTACACATCAGGCAAAATATGAGGGAAGACATGCGTGCAGACAGAATGATGAGAAACAAAAATATACATGCAGACATTTAGAAAGAAGGGACCACACAGGAAGACACTGACTGAAAAATTAGGAAAATCACAGTCTACTCACTCATATTCTCCTCCTCATCCACATCCATGGCCGCGGGTTTGATCTGACCTGAGAGCAGCCTTGCCCCCACTGCACCTGAAGATCATAGAGGACATAAAGGTGGACTGCATTAGCAAGGACAGAGTGACACACATAAACACATTTGAAGACCCTGAGTGGCTACAGCGATGAAACATTACTTGAAGCAAAATGCACATATTGCAGTGTGCAAGCAGCCCGTAATGTAGACATATAAATATTCAGATACTGAGAGATATCAAGGTGAGAGAGGAGGCCAGGGCTGACAGGCCTTAATAGCAGGAGCAGTCTATTGTGACTTTAATATCCCTCCGATTAGACCTCGTTTCCCACTGCCTGCTGAGAGATATACAGCGAGTGACATGGCCAAGTTACTCCATTACCGCACACACATACACACACAACTTATCCCAAGGTGGAGAGTGCGATTAAAGCTCCATTAAGCAACATTTTTCAAACAAACCTAAAATCAAATGAGTTTCTGCAATCTGACGTTCATTCTGCCGACTACACTGATGATGAACACCCAACTCTAAGGCTATTTAGGCACGTTTTAAACTGAAACCATTTTGCCATTATTTAAAAAGAAAAAACATCCATACTTCCAAATTTCTCAAATATCTTGGTACTGTAAGTGTTTTACATGGTATAAGCCACCAATACATGGCAAATATAAATGTCAACTTGGTCATCCGGTTCGAGATGTGAAATACCAGAGGGTATTGAAAAACCAAAGCAGTGGAAGACACGAAAATAATTAATGAAATTATCTAGAAATGTCAAAAGCATACTTTCTATATTTCAAAAACTACTTAAGAACCACTCAAAGGTGTACTCCACTTTAGTATTACATTGTTAGACCCAGAATGGAAAGTAAAAAAATAAAAGATCAAAATCGATGCAGCGATAGAGGCAACACCCTTTTTTATTCCTCTCATTCTTGTTCCTTATCAAAACAAGGCAGCTACATAACCCAATATCAGCCGCTGTTCATCGATTTAATGATCTCCAAAAGAATAATTTCAGAAGAGGAGTTTACACCACTACCACTGGCTGATACTAGCAGTACGCTAGTTACAGAAGTAAAAGCTGTAATCAGCCTCCGCACAAACCACTTGAAAAGTCGTGGCGCGACAAAAAAATATTGCTGAGAGCAGGGCAGATGAGTGCGGAGTGATGAAACAGACTAACCAAAAAAGTTAGAAGAGGAAGAGAGTAGCAAAGCGGGGAAGGCGAAGAGCGGCGAAAAAACGAGAGAGAAAGCAGGAGAAAGATGGCATTATGATATAGAACAGATTGTGCTGATTCTACTCTCCCTCCACCCGTCTTCCATCAGTGGCCCCATTCCTCAGCCAGACACTTTCTTAAGCTAAACTAAATGGGCTAATTAATCTGGGCTAATGGTGGGTGACAGCAAATATGCTAGCACAATTATCACCCTATTACAGATTCATATTCCATCCCCTAATTGAAAATGAAAAGGTGGGGTGATCGGAGGATGGGTGGGAGTAGGTCCAACAGAGTGGAAGATGAGTCATTTCTCTCAGGTAGCTGGAGCCAGGTGCCTTGGCCCCCAACACACTCATCCAGTAACTCAGAATCTATTTCAGTGAACACATGACAAGTAGCATTACTTACAAGTTGTTACTTCTGCAGTGCAAAGTTCTCTTTGATTGTATGGTACATTATTCAGTTGAAATGACCAGTGTGATGTATGTAGGGGAACATGTTAGAAGCATTGGAAATCTAATAGTCATAACTACACCTCATTAGTGTACAATCACGTGAAACGTCGAATTATCTTCTTTGAACAGTAGCACAGAACGGACGAACCAAACTCTGGCTCTAGATATGGCCTTTCTTGGTTTTTCATAACGTGCGTTAAAGCCACATTGTGCTTCGTTGTGCTTAAGCCTTACGCTTGAAAAACTGCTGTAACACAAGCTACCTCCTCATTTCATTGCTACCACAGTGGTGTTAGGGTCAATAATGGATCTACAACTACATCCCTAGGTGGCGACAAATCCAACACCCTATCCCTTGTTGGCTATAAATAGTTTAAACATCTTAAGTTAATATTTTTCTATCAAAAACACCCTTTTGTGATGGGACTTATCAACTTTGTAAGTTGTGACCTAATGATTCAGACATTACTCTTGATTCGAAAAGGATTAAATATAATAGACATGATCCGGTAAACTTATTTGATGCCATCCAGCACAATGGGAATCAAACTGAGTATATGCTATTTACATTTGTTTGTAACTATGTAGGATCCTTGGGGGATTTCTTCCTTTGGGGAATAATGTTGGGTGGTGAGTTTTATTTATTCATCAATTCCTTCTTTGTGTATTGTTCCATAAGTCATAAAAAGTAATATTGTCCGTATTCACAAATATTCTTGCAATGTATTTGTCTCTTCATGGTTATAATGTGGCCTGAGTGTAAAACAAAAAGGCTGTTATTTCCCTCTTATACTTCTTCTTCCTCCTTCAGATATTCTCCTCCAACACACACTGCTGTGTAGTTTAATCAGCACGCAATGCAAATGTGTCTGTCAGTTTTGATTTTTTAGATGAGACCGCCTCGGTCATAAATCTGTAACTATTCCTGAAATCAGGTGCAATCAGCAAGGAGAGTCTCACAAAGAATTCATAAAACGAGTGTATGAGTGTGCGTGTCTTGAAAAGTAAATCTGAAGGTAAATGGCTTTGCAATTCTAAAGGGCAAAGCACTACAAAAAGAAAAATGGTTTGTGCATTCTGTGAACTAAAATAAACGCTCATATTTTTGTATTAAGTTCGATAAATGTCAACTATTAAAATATCCAATATATTTCTTCAAATAGATCCACTGTGAGTGTATCTCAAAGGTCATCCAATCCAAATGCTGAACAAAAGTGACAAATTAGAGTAATCTACAACCAGACTATATATCAAAATGACTGATCATTAATAAAGGGAAAGATATTATACATTGCCTAAAGGAATACCTGAGGCTAAAAAGGCAGTAACATATTCTTTAATATGTTCCATTGCCTGATTTACCCCTAGGCATTATTTTAATATGACCATCAAACATTTTCAAAGCTGCATAAACTGCTTTGTTAAAATGACTACTAAATGATTTCAAAAGCAATTAAATTATGATTGAGTCCAAGTAAGCATATACTTTTTGGAATTAACGTATTCTGCTACAGAAGTTGTCTCAAACGTTGAAAGTACATTTCTCCAGTATTGGACGTAGCAAAATGCTTTAAATTTGAAGAACTGACAGCAACCTGATGTTGAGCAGCACTGATGAGAATATGTTGTGCTATCAAACAAATATGATTTGGATGCATTTCACAGTCTCCCATTGGCAATTAGAGGATATCTAACCCATTTAAACTATGAGCAAAACAAATGGACACAAGCAAAGCAGAACATCAAAGGTTTTCTGAAGGCGCTTAAGCCTTTTTCTATAAAATCAGCCAATGTTGGACATCAATACCGCAAAACTAATTTAGATATTTGCATGCATGGAGATTCAGGAGACAGATAGATTTTGATATTGACAATTTTTGAACCCACAAATGTGCAGCAGTGGATTTAAAGTGAGTCAAAGGAATCAATGGTGAAGGCTGGCGACTATCTTCCTTCACACGCATAAATGATACCGCGTCATCAAGTTGTGAGACGGCTTGGTTCCAGCGGGTAATTCTGAGTGGACGCCAAGGGAGGCAGCGAAAAGAGAAAGATGAGAAAGAAGATGAAAAACCTCAAATTCAATCTGGCACGGGGAGAGGGACTGAGGGGAAATAAGGTGGTTTTGATTTCTCTCTCATCCCTCGCTTGCGCTGTGACGGAGCGATAGAGTATCGCCACCTTGGAGGGAGCGCCAGCCGCGGCCAACTGTCGGGAGGAGGTGGGGGGTTGGCGGGTGGAGTGCGGGATGGAAAGGTAAAGGTGAGGGGAGAATGGAGGATGAGAGAGATAGAAAATGCAATCTTATTCCAAGTAAAAGAGAATCATTATCTGCTCTAAAACAGAAGGCGATGGAAAAGTCTGCCCTTGGCAGGCTGTGGGCCTCAAACTGTATATAACAAACTCCCTATGAAGTCTAGTGTATGATCCATCAAAATCATTTCAACTTAAGACCTTAAGAAAAACACTGAAAGCCAGAGTTATAAATAATTTAAGATTTCTACTTGCATGAAAGGCTGACCTTCAATAATTCAGAAAAAACTGAAAAGGTAAAAATCTATTTCACCACATTAGTAACTGCCTCAGCAACCGGGTTGTCACGAGTTATAAGCAAAACCTTGAAAGGTAACCTGCCATGCAAAGGAAGCACAAGGGAAAAAAATGACATGGAGTTGAAAGGTCCATTTGAGAAAGTCTCTAAGTGCATTAGCATGGTAGCAACGCATGAAAAACACAAAGGAAATATTTCCCCTTGAGTTGCACAAGGATCCATGGTTTTGCCGAAACACATTCTTTTAGCAACTCTCTCCAATTTGTTTATTTTTAAATGAAAACTCCCATCTTTGTCCGGCAAATTGTCCACGTACACCACAAAGATCTTAAGAAACATACTCAAACTAGCATTGTAATTGAAGGTTATATACCTTCTGCAATCTATCTGGCACAATGGAGCTGTGTCCCAGTGCTTTACCCATACTGTAATGCCTGCTTTTGTACTCTTTGTCGCACCTTATCCCCCTGACTTTTCACTGCAAATGGTAAGGGACAGGTTCTTAAAATGAGATGGAGATGGAATAACACAGAATCTCTTTTCAGTCTCCAATATTGCCTTAGATTCTAGGTTTCACTCAACATTTAGCCATTTGATTTGGTGGCCAGTCAGCTTTGAGAGGCCAGAGGCAACCAGAAACACGGGAAGATACAAACATTGGATCATTTTCACTTATGGAAACAGACTTGGTGGACGTTTGGGTTCTCTGAGTGCCCTTCTAGTTAACTTCCTTTTTAAGAAAGTAAGTATATTGTGTTGTAGACGTTATCCAATATGATACATTTTTCTTTTTCCATTTCATTGTCAACGTACTTGTTTTA